CCCTAACCGCACTAACCCTAACCCTAACCGCACTAACCCTAACCGCACTAACCCTAACCGCACTAACCCTAACCGCACTAACCCTAACCCTAACCGCACTAACCCTAACCCTAACCGCACTAACCCTAACCCTAACCCGCGCATTTGCACCCAAAATGCCATTCAGGGATTGCATTGGCCGAACGCTCAATAAAACAGTTCCACAAACCAAAACTCACTTTACTGTACAGTTACATAAGTGTCCATGATGAAAAAAGGCCAAGCAGCGTTATTGCAGATAGTTAATGTTGCCGCACTGTCATTTTGCAGATGAAGAGAATCCGACCCCTCCACACATAGCACAGGCGGCCGCCCACAATGAAGCAGAGCACAAACTCACTACCACCTCACCGGCCACGCACGCACACACACGGAAAGTGAGCCTGCAACCATCAAATGACACCGTACCCAAACTACAACGCACCGACACACTGTGCGCGGGACATGACGCCCCTCACTGCAGCACTCCCGTATAAAGCGCCCTTGCTCCCTCAAGGAAAGGGAGAATGACCCGCAACGCAACTCCCATTTTTTTGTCTCTCTTCTCTTTATCTCTACCGAATGAGGCAGAATCCTTCACGCATACCTATAATATATATATATATTATAGGTTGTATGTGCGCGCCTACAGATACAAAGTTTTTTAAAAAAAGGAATAAAGCATGCATGGACACACAAACACAAACACAAAGAAAAACACAGTAATCATGCAGAACTGAAAAGAGCAAAAACAAGACAGGCGAAACTCTCGATTGGGTTGCATCCCCGGGAATAGAAAAATGCGGGGCGCAAAAAATAAAATAAATAAACGTTTTAGGTTCTACCGAATTTTTGAGCGAAACAAAAAAATAGGTAAATCAAACATTCTACCTTCCCCAAAACCGCGTCTTAATCACAAAAACAAAGTTCAAAAAAAATGTGTTTTGCAGGGAATGATTCGTTTTATTTATTATTCACATCCTTTCAATTCTGTCACTTCGGCAACGCCTCAATGACGGCGGTCCTCCCACCCTTAAAGAAGACCTGCGCCTTTTCTCCGATATGCATGTGCGCAACGGCCGCCGTGATCTCCGCGTCCGGCTGCTGCACGACGGCCCCGTCAACCACAATGGCGACGGCGTCAACTGCCGTTACCGCTGGGTTGTCGTTGAGGTTCGGTGAGATCATCTTGAAGAACATGCCATGGTTCTCAACAATGCGGCAGGCAGCGCTGAAAGCAAACCGCACGCTGTACTGGGACCACGAGCCGCAGTACAGGAAGGAATCCCCCAGGCCAAGATGGCTCAGAACGGCAAGGTTTAACGTCGCGGTGACACTGCTGCCGCAGAAAAAAACGCAGTTGGAGACGTCCGCGTGGATGGCTTCCCACACGCTTTCAAGTGCCTTCAGTGCGATGCTGCGACACTCCTCGTCCGGTCTGAGGCACTTGTGCTGGTCCTTGCACTGCATAAAACTCTCCCAAGGGAAAGAGACAGCATTCTCAATGCTGCCTGGCAGTGTGTCGGAGCAGGAGGGGCGCACCGTCGATGAGAAACGGTCTGCTGCACGTGCATCCACCATAACTGCGTTGGGCGGCACCTCCTCGATGGTGAGGGCGCGCTCAAAGGAGTTCCTGTACGGCCATTTCTCCAGTGGCTGAACCATTACCTCCGGACGCCCCGCCTCCAACGGCAGCCCCGCCGCATGGTACGCCTGAAACCCACCGTCCAGCACGTACGCCTCAACCCCGAGGGAGTGCAGCATCCACCACATGCGGCAGCCGCCCATGGCACCGCTGAGGTCGTCGTAGCAAAGGACCGGCTTCCCCGAGCCAATGGCCTTTGCCTTGCACCACTCCACAAACTTCGCGGCGTCCGGCAGCGGGTGGCGTCCGTTGGCAATCGTGATGGGCCCACTTAGGTCCTCATCCACACCCACGAAGATGGCACCCGGGAGATGGCCCTTGCAATAATTGTCCCTGCCGTGCGCCTTATCGCAGAGGCTGTAGCGCACGTCGCACACCTGGTAGTCGCCGAGACACTGCGCAACGTCCTCAACGGCGAGAAACACCTTC